TTTCTCGGATTGTAAGTCGAGTAGAATATTTAGACATTTTATGTTCGTTTGTGGGTTGGAGAAAATTTTGCGGTTGCTTTTGTGTTGATGTGCTCTAGAATTGTTTTGTGGTTTGGAGTAAAATTGGCTTCTTTTTGTTTGGTGAATGAAATTTCTGGATATACAGGTTCATTGGGTTACCTGGGTGTTTAGGGTTATTGGTTCGTTGCTTTTCTGTTTGCGGTTGCTTTGTTTTGCTTAATGCCTTAATTATGGGCGAAGTGTGTATTACGAATTAATATGTTAAACAAAGGCTTCGTTTATCTTGGTTAATGCCTTGATTATCGGCTTGGATTAGTGTTAAACTGCTAAGAATTTGTCTACCTTTCATAGTTTGCTACTTTGCTTAATGCTGTTACTGGTCTTATCTCTTTCTTCCTGTTGTGTGTATTATTATCTTCACCAAAAGTGGCAAACACATTTCAGTAGGATTATTTGATGAGTTTGGGCAAATTCCTTTTATTATAAATTCATTTTGAGGCCCCTCCAGGTTTAATTTCATTTAATGCAATCATGTTCCTTGTTCATTTAATTTCATTTAATGCAATCATGTTGTGTGCATGTTTTATGTATAAGCTGCTCATAGTCCATTTTATTATTGTGTGGTGTCCTTATTGCTTTTCGTTGTCGGTTGGATTTGAGAACAAACTTGTAAAGTTTCTGTAATAATGGAATCTTTGCTGCCGTATGTATGTGAATGAGTTCATTCTAATGCCCACGAGGAGCTCTTCTCCTAACTCTGGTACATGAGGGAGTATTTGGTTTGGTTGCTGCGGTAGTCTAGAAGCATTGTTCGAGCTTTTTTACATTGTTTTTTGCAGATAAATTATGTGTTTTGTGACTGGGTGATCCATACCGTGGCTATAATAAAATAAAAAAAAAAGAGGCTCAATATGTGATCTGCACACTTTGTAATCTGAATAAATATGTAGTTAATCATTTGCTACTCCTTCATCAATTTGCAGGGGTTATTCGACTGTGAAGTGAAGTCATTTTGTTCTTTATACATGTTGCTAATATGTTTTTGTTTGATGTGTTTATTTTCCTTTAATCCAAGGGTTGGTAATGACTAGAATATATCTCCCATGTTTACAATGTACTGTCTTCTATATTTGGTCTCTTTTCAATGTTTATGCTGGTCTCAATTGAAGGTGTCCTCGTCATTTGTACCCAGTAACAGAGTTTTACAAAAATATTTTGTCAGGTGGACGATTCGTACAAGTCCAGCATTCAGTTCCCTGTACTGTTCTAATTTCTCAGGTAATTCTCCAACTAATTGATAAGATCTTTTATTTATTTCCCCTTCAATGTTGCTTCCACGAAGAACACCTGACGATATTTTTTATTTCCACCAATGCGTGCGTTGTATGCACGTGCTATTGTTTCATCCACATTTGTAGATTGATTCAATTGGAGAAGAATTAGCGGTTTTTACTATATTGGAAGAAGTAATGAGTAGTGTTCAACTTTTTTTGCTACTTGCTATTTATTACTATATGAAATTCATCCTCCCTCGGCGAAAACGTCGACGTTCGGGCGATAACCACGTCCCGTTATTCCGAGTTAGTGATAGACTCCCCCATCAGCTCAATTACATGCGAAGGTTGATTGACGTGAGCGACACAACTTGTCTCGAGAACCTCCGTATGGATCGTAACTCCTTTGGCCATTTGTGTCACCTCCTGGAAAGTTCGAGGGGGCTTACCCAATCTAGAAATGTTCCACCAAGCGAACAAGTTGCTATTTTTCTGTCAGTCCTAGCTCATCATAAGAAGAATGTCACCTTAAAGCTTGATTTTGTTAGATCCGGTCGAACCATAAGCAAATACTTTAACCGTGTTCTCGACGCGGTCATCCGACTTCACAAAACCCTAGCTGTGCAACCAAATGCAGTTGAGGTTGATTGTGTCGATGAAAGGTGGAAATGGTTCAAGGTAACCTACAACCCATTTCTCAACGTGTTACGAAATCCTTAGTTGAATCATTGAAAACTAATAAGTTTATGGTATTTCTTCATCTTTAGGGATGTCTAGGAGCTCTAGATGGTACCTACATTGACGTGCGAGTCCCCTCGATTGACAAGGCACGATATAGAAACCGTAAGGGTAGTATATCTGTCAATGTACTTGGAGTTTGTGATAGAAACATGAACTTCGTGTACATGCTATGTGGATGGGAGGGGTCAGCTGCAGATAGTCGAGTCTTGCGTGATGCAGTTACAAGGACGCATGGTCTACGTGTTCCAAATGGTAATATAATCATTTGGAATCCATAAACACCATCCACTTTATGAATTTGGAATTAAACATAACCACTAGCTCTTTTAATTTGTATACCAGGAAATTATTATTTGGTAGATGGTGGGTATACGAACGGTCCCGGTTTTTTAGCGCCATATAGGGGTGTCAGATATCACTTGCAGGAATGGGGTGCAGGCAACCGTAGGCCTCAAAACTTTAGAGAATTGTACAACCTTCGCCATGCTAAGGCTAGAAATGTGATTGAACGTGTCTTTGGCATTTTGAAGATGCGATGGGCAATCCTTAGGAGTTGCTCATATTATTCCATTCGAGCACAAAATCGCATTATCATAGCATGCGCGCTCCTTCACAATTTGATACGTACAATAATGGCCAATGATCCCATGGAAGCACTAGTTCCTGAGATACCGGTTGATGGATTGTCCACAACTACGGGTGATGATGACTTGATAGACCAGGTGGAGGGCAGCCCTGAATGGACACAGTTCCGTGACCGATTGGCACAAGATATGTTTGACGATTGGGATCATAATGTTTTTTAGTTTAAGAACAATTGACTGAATAGGATGACCTACGACTTGTTTACTTTGTTTGCACCATTTGTCGTGTCACGTTTTTTCCATTGAGGACAGTTTTCCTTGTTGTGCGTGTTTGTAACTTTCCATTGAGGATATTTTTCGATGTTCTGCGTGTTTGGTTTTCTCCATTGAGGATAGTTTTCCATGTTCTGCGTGTTTGGTTTTGAATTAGTCATGTGGATTTATTAAAGCATTTTTCCATTTTACTTCAAAACTGGCAGCCAAATATAAATGATGTCGTTCTTTCGTTCTTTATTAAGCAATATCTTGATGTAACGAGTCCCAAACCAATCATGTTGTGCAAAACTATTGCAAGAGCAGGTACCATCATGGACTATTCATGTACCCAGCAAAGTGGGAGACCTGCCTCTTCACAAACAAGCAGACGACGTACGTGGAGTCCGGCAGAAGAGTCTGCCCTAGTGGACATTTTGAAAGACATGGTTAACGAGGGTTGGAGGGCAGATAATGGGTTTAGGCAGGGCTACAATTTCGAGATAGAGAGAAGATTGCACAAGAAGTATCCTGATTGTACCCTTCGTGCAGACCCCCACATAAGCTCAAAAATACATGTGTGGCGCAAGAACTATGTGAGCGTGGCACTCATCAAAACTACCTCAGGCTTTGGGTGGAGCGAGTTGACAAAAACATTTTCCTGCGACGATCAGGTTTGGAGTAACTGGATAAAGGTAATTATCCAACGAAACTTCACCTCAACAATTGTGCTTAAAAAAAAAAATAAATAGCCATGTCATAACCATTAATTTCCATTCGATGTATTTCGATAATGTAGGTAGATCCAAATGCGAAATCACTTAGGAACAAGTCTTTCCCTTACATCAATGATTGGGCAGAAATCTTTGGGAAAGACAGAGCAACAGGCGAAAATGCACAAGCCTTTGATGATGCCGCTAACGAATGCCCAGTACAACCTATGCAGTACACCCCGGACTCGGATAATGAGGCTAATGCATCAGGTCATAACCCCTCTGATGGAAGCCCATGCGTTGGCATGGAAAACACCTCTGCTACGGCGTCTGAGTCCGGTACGAGGGCAGGAAAGAGAAAGAAAGGGAGTAAAAGGAAAGAAGAGAGGCAGTGGGAGGAGCGTTTTCTAGATATAATGCAAACATTTTCTCAGGGTACAAAGGACAGCTTGAATGGCATCGCATCAAGGCTTGGGTTTGAGCATGATGCTGAGAAGAAAAGGAGTGAGGTGTTTGATTCATTGTCTAACATGCATTTCCTTTCAACTGAGGCTAAAATGGTTGTCACCATGCGTCTGTGTAAGAACCCACAGGAGCTCTCGATGTTTTTCAGCCTAAGTCCGGAGAATAAAGCTGTGATGGTGAAGATGATGCAAGAAGGACGGTTGTAGGGGAATTCTAATGTGAACACTATTTTGTGTGTTTTGGAACAATTAAAACCTCTTAAGACTTGTAATGTGGTGTGATGTGTTGATGCTTTGCTTTTCATTTGGTTTGTTAAGACTTGTAATGTATGTGTATATTTTGATTTGGCTTTTGATGACTGCACTCTTTTGAAATCATCATGCCAGTAGGACTTTTGTGTGTTAGTATTGTTCCATAATTATGTGTTTGAGTAATTATGCTATTACATGTATTATTGCAAATGAAAGGTGTTCTGGTTGTTTATGCAAATTTCTGTTTCTTTTTTTTTTTGTGCTTTTTTTATCTTATTTTGACGACAGATAAAGGATGGACAACATGGATGTTGATGGTCAGGATCCTCATTTTTTCAAGGCTGTTCACTTTCGTACGCTCTATACCATGGTACGTTTACTTGGTATTTTTCTGTCTTATTATTTATCTACTTCAACCAAGACGATTATATTAGGTAGATAAAAAGCCACATTATAATTAATATGCCTGTTTTAAAATGTTATTGTCCATGACTGTGACTACTGCATACCATGGTACGTTTTGAGGTATTATTTTGTGTTATTATTTATTTACTTCAACCAAGACGATCATGTTAGTTAAATAAAATAGCCTCAATATAATTAGTATGTTGGTGTTAAAATGTTATTGTCCATGGCTATGATTACACATGTTTTATTCATTTTTTGTAGGCATTCCCCCCTGCCACACACACCCATTACCGCAATGTGGTGCTACCACAAACATGCAGTATCCAAACCACTGAGGGACGTATATACGAGACGACATTGAAAATGGTCAATAACTGCCCAACTTTAACGGACGGGTAGAGAGATTTCATTCTCACAGAAGACATAACCATAGGGTACTTCTTCGTTTTCCGTCCGAGGACCATCTTCGACTATGAAGTGACCGTGCTTGAGCCCAACGGATGTGAGAGGCTGCCACAACACACATTTAGGGTGGAAATTAAGCCTACTCATGTGGAGCGTGCACGTTTGGTATGTTGTTATATGTAATATTAAACTTTCTGTGGTAAAAATTCATATTTTATATTTTAGTGTTTAATGTCAATTATATTTAGGCAATCCCAATGACGGTTTGGAGGGCTTACATACAAGGCCAGTATTTGAACTACAACTCCGCAATACTGCAGTTTGGTGACTACAGGTATGACGTTGAAATAATCCAGGGTCACGGGAAGAAACTCCTTCAAAATGGTCGAGCTCGACAGTTCATCGATGACAACAACATTGTTGTAGGTGATGTTTGCACGTTCTTTCTCCTCCCAGGAGATGAAGTTATAAAGTTCAAAGTCAAAATGTAGTTGAAGTGTAATATGTATGTGCACTTGGGGTTGAACTTTTGGTGGGATGATGTTATGAACTCGTTTGGATGATGTTGCGAACTTTGTTTTGGATTTGTTTGCTTTTTCATGACAATGTTCGGAAGTAGAATGTGGTTATCGTAATTTATTATGTTGGTTGGTATGGTCATGGTTTATGGTTATGGGTGTACTTTTGGTTAGTTGTTAACATATTATGTTTTTTGTTTTGACAACAACATTCATTGCAACAAATGGACAAAGAATGAAACAACACATAATACATATAACTAAATAATAGATGTAAATCATCAACAAACAACGCACGGATGCATTGCACGATACAAACATTAGTAATCAGTACAAACAAACATTGCTGACTAACCATAACAAAAGTAAACATCAAACAACCACACAATCCAAACATAGCGTAATACGAAGCCTCGGATATGGCTAAAATATAAAACTTAAAGTACGACGACATTGACTAACACATAAGTCCCAACTTAAAAGAAAATGATCCATAGACGGAGGATTTACCACGGCCAATCGAACGAGTAATCTATAGGGGTGGTAGAACATGCAGTCGACATAGAATTTGCGTCTGGTTCATCGGGAGGATTCTTAGAGGAGTTGTAGTTTAGTGGTTGATTGACAGATCCATCAGTTGAGCCAGTTTGGCTATGTATGGAATTCTTTTTTTTGGGGGCCTTAGAGTTGCTGCCCATGTAAAAGGCCGGACGCGGTGGCTGTTTTTTGCGGGGGATGTCCGTTCGAACCGGGTACGACACTAACCTACTCCTTGGGGTAGACTTTGGAACATAAGCGTCCACATCAATAATTTGCACACCTTTGTCACGACCGTTTTTTGCCTTCGTACCTTCACTGTCACTGTCAGATAGAATGTGATACTCGAAAGGAGGTTTGTATGGTGCCTCCACGTGAAACAACTCCACAATCTTGGCATGCTGGGGATCACCTTTATTGATGTAAGCGATGAAGAATTCATCCCACTAGGTGAAAAAGAAAATTTAGATTACTTTGCAACTGAAACGTATGTGTAATGAAGGGAAACGTACATCATTAAGAAAACTCACGTTCATCAATTGATGCCACATACTGTCGGAAGCATGGTACACGTTGTTGGAAGCATCATATTGAACACCATCCTTTTCTTTAAGTGCTGTAATAATATTGTGTCTTTTGGCCAAAACATCAATACGTGAGCTTATGTACTCCGGCGTGAAAGTTGTGGTAAACCACGCATTGAACGCCCTCGTAGTATCCCCAATCCGTTCCTTGTAGCTTGTAAAAGGTACAAACAGACAAACAAGCTTTTCCTCAAGCAAATAATCAATCAAAAACTCGTCCATCTTTGGGGTCCAATGGAGGTCGTACAGGTAATCGGCCTGCACTACACCAAAGTTGGGAGCCATTGCCAAAGTTTGAACTGTAAATATTTTGAAAATTTAATTTTTCTTTCTTAAAACTATAATCTTTTTCTTTCTCTTTGTGTTCTGGATTGATTTCGTGGGAAGTGGGGTATTTAAATAGGAGAAGTTCATGGTTGAAGTTCAATAATGCATTGTCTAATAATAAAGCTTATGTCCTTAAGTCCAATCAACTGCGCAACCGAGTGGGGTGTGCAGCATTGTTGCCGTTTAGTCCAATCTTCTGTTTTGTGCAGTAGTGGGGTGTGTAGTCATGTAGCTGTGTTGTCCAATAAAGTTACTTGTGACGCATCACTGAAGCCTGGTAGTAGGCATGCTTCGACTGCAGTGCAGTAGTGGGGTGTGCAGTCGTGTAGCCCTTTAGTCCAACTTGAAAACTTTGCAGAAAAGCTATAGCCTACGAGTAGACCTGCATTCAGTGGTCATGTCGCGTGATATGGTAAATTTAATATTAAGACGGACAAAATTGTACTTAAAATAGCTTTAATCCATGGACATGCGGGAAGCAACACCAGACGAGGTTTAATACAAAATCAGTCGAACGATAATTAACAAGGCCAGTTCACGTTATAAGGATTAAATTTTACCAATAAACAGGTTTAAAGTACGCAAATCTAATGTGTAAGCTATCAAGTTATGAACTTAAATTTGTACTGCAAAGTGTTAATAATTGTGAAGTTTTATCAACCGGAGTTTGTACTGCAAGGTTTTAGCATGCTTATGTTTTGTAACTTTGTCCCATACGTTTGTCACCCAATCATGGTATAGTAGCAAGACATGTGAGTATTAAATTTGAATTTATCTATTGGTGAACCATTCATGGTATAGTAGCAAGAAGATGCGAGTATGCAGTATATTAATGTGAAGTCTAGTATAGTAGCAAGAAGATGTGAGTATGGAGTCCATTAAATTGGATTACATGTTTGAATAACCTTTGCTAAGAAGGAACACAAATATGAGTATTTCGATGGTACAACACTCTTTATCTTAATGTGAAGTCTATTATAGTAGCAAGAAGAAGTGAGTATGGAGTCCATTAAATTGGATTACATGTTTGAATAACCTTTGCTAAGAAGGAACACAAATATGAGTATTTCGATGGTACAACACTCTTTATCGTCAATTGGCAAATCTATTTATTATTAAGAAGAAAAAGAGACACAAACACGAAAAACAAAACATATTTCAATCAAACAACCCTAGCGTCACATAACAGAGCTCCAAAATAAATGACACACTAAAATAAATGACACACTAAAATAGAAGAGTACATAGTAGAGTACAACACGCATAGACACATACATATATGAATACAACATTACACATTACAGAAGCACCTCGAATCCAAAGCCTTTACCTACAGACCCATTCACAACAGTATATAGCAGAAAAATACTAGCAGCAAAGTTGATATAATTAATGTGAAGACCATTCGCATCTCCCAACTTTTCTTACTTGCCACCAGAGTATTGTTCAATGCTTGTAAGTGTTCCACCCTTTCCTGCAAATTCGTATTTTGTTCCTTCAAGTTATCATTCTTTGCCTCTAGTGCATTGATCCTCTTTAATAAACCCGGGATAATTCTTTGAGACCGTTCACACATAGGAGGGTCCAGCCATGACCAATATGTGCAGCCCAACGGCTACAAAAATTTTAGAACATTAGTAATCATAACAATTTTTTTACCTCACACCATAATCAGCTAAAAAAGATAGTACCTACATGTATAGTAAGGTGTGTGCAATTAAAATAACAAATCTGAAGTTGAAGAAACTCACATGTCAAAATGCTATGTCTACTTTAGAGTTATGTACTCAAACAATGTTGTAAATAGCCGAACTACATTGTACAATGTATGTCATCCAAATGTTAAGTATTAATCAATTTTAAAACATTAAATAAATAAATGATACCATACCTTTCCGATGGCGCAAGTCTGATATCTCCTTCCCGGGTTATCGACCGTCCATGATGTCACAATTTTGGCCCTTTTTCCACACCAACATTCCCATAACCCACTAGTGTTCGATGATTCGGACATGTCGTAATCTACGAAGGTTAGCAAATGGTTTCACTTATAAACTGTAGGAACCTGGTAAAGTCATGGCCAAACAACAAAACAAGCAGGTACCTCATCCCCTGCTACATTGTGAAAGTAACAACCAAACAAGCAAGCAACTAGTTTGTTATGTGAAAGTAACTAAGTTTTACGACCATTACCAACAAGACAGGAGAAAGGAAGAAATTTCAATGAACTTAACTTTACTGAAACTAACCATTAAAGTCAACATAAGTACAATAAATTTCAGCACAAAAAAAAAAATTAAAAAAAATAAAAATAAAATAACAGCAGCCTCAACAATCAAAAACAAATAAGGCAACCAATAACATGCTTCATACTATGAAGCTTCATCTTCAGCAACCAATAACAAGCTTCCCCTAAAGCTTACTACTCTTGAGCATGAAATAATAGTAGGCTCAACAGATAAAAAACAAGGCCTTAAACAGAATTATAACAAAAAACAACCCAGAACAAGCTTCATCTTCTTCTTTAAATCGTAAACAAATTTTCTTCACCCCATGAACAACAACCAAGGCACATAACAGAGCACACCATTCAGCAACTCAACAATTCAAGGCAATTTGACACACAAATCATGCTTTGCTTATCCGATTCATCTGTAGGAAAAACTAGCACGCATATTTAACCTAAAAAATACACCTAACCACACGGCACAACTTGTCAAATTCAGACCAATTCACACAGTTATTTGCTTTCCATTTGACAAAGGCGACAGCAGAAAACAATAATTGTCGGGCATAAATTGCGTTAGGACCGCAGCAAAATTATACTATCTTTCAATACCCAAAAAGCAGATATTCAAGCCCGTTGAGGAGAACATCATAATGTGTACCTCGAAATGAAGACAAGGGAAAACGCACCTCCAATTTGACAATGGCGACACCTCTCGTACCTACTCCTCTGAACCGACGGTGCCAAACCCTTTTCAAGCCGACCCGACAACCTTCGTCTTTGTCAAGTTTTGTCGTCTTCCCGTCTTCGTCTTCCTGGCCTGGTGAGAGGAGTGTTGCGTCGTCTTCGGTGTTCTAGGGTTCCACAGATTAGAATAATTTCGTAATGGGGGTCGAAAATTTGGATGTGGTAAGTAGAAAGAGGTGAGGGTATATTTGACCTTCCAATTTTTTACTTCATTCTCAAAAAAACGTAATAAACACATGATGGGATTAGAAAACATTGCATCCAATTTGGTAAACATGTATAATAAGCTGACTCATTGGACTATTAATCCAATCCCATCCTATCCCATCAACCTTAGTAAAAGAGCTCTAAGAGAATATATAATGGGATTTAGTTAGGGGAAGATAATTAGGTAAGATATAATTTGAATAAGTCTAATTATTCTCTTTCTTCTCTTTCATACGCAGGTGAAAAAAAATAAAATCTTGGGCAGAATCCTTCTCTTTCTTCTCGTTCATATGCAAGTGAAAAAAAATAGAAATCTTGGGCAAAAAATGTCGAAATTAATCATGGAGAGGGTGTTTGTCTGTGGTTGGTGATGAACTCTCGGGCTTCGCTTGGGCCTGCCATCGCGAGGGCTTTCCGGCGAGAAGCTATTGGTCGCGTTGGATGCATGATGGCCGGATTTTTTTTTTTAGTCGTGTCTGGCCGGTCTTGGTGGTTGCGTGCGGCTGTGGAAACATGAGTCATATATGGCCGCACGTGGGACGGGTTGCGGCTGTACGAGGTCATTTGTTAATTGAGCAGAGAAAAAGATCGAGTGGGGCTGGAGACGGACCAAATCTCGCGAGGATGACAATCGACTGGAGATTATTTTACTGTTGTGAAACTCGGACGATGGGTGTTGGCCGGAGATGGCAGGGCTGATGTTTCCAGTATGATGACCGACGACGGGGCTGCTGTTCCAAGGACGGGCTGAAGGTCGATGATGGCCACAAGACGCCAAGGCTGGTCGCACTCCTTCTCGGAGAAGACGACTGGAGATTCTGAGCACCGGTGAAATGGACGAACGGCGAGAAAAAATTTGTCCTGACGAGTTCAGTTTTTTCGGTCGAAATTATAGAAGTCAAGAGTTTATTTTTTATTTATTTATTTTTAACGCGTTTTGTTAGAGAAATCTGGGCACTTGTGAAGTCCATAACCGATAAAATAATAATTGGCCAAATATTGTTACTTAGGTAGATACAACTTCAAATGAATTACATCATACCGTACCTAAGTTCACTTTAATGTATAAATCATTAGAATAATAAAAAATAAAATTTTTATAGATAACAAATAAATGTTTATCATAGCTTTTATTTAAAATAAATTTGAATTATTATACCTTTTACTTTATATGAAATTCAAAATTACATATTTTAATATACTAATAAATGTTTATTATTTATTTTTTCCTTATGTGATATAATCGAAATTCGGTATTAAATTTTTAAATTCAAACATTTAAAGAAAAAGATCCTAAACAAATTTTTTTGGGTAAATTTTATCATGATTTTCTTATAATCACATTCCTAACAAATTAATTAATATTATATTTTTTTTATCTACATTATCTAACCGATTTTTTTATGATACAATTAATATAATATCTTTACTAATTAATCAATTATCTAACCGGATTTATCTCTCTAACAAACTTGCCAATTTTTTTGAAATTAAAATGGTATGATTATTCTTATGGAGATAATTGACTTTTTAAAAAAATAAAATCAAAACCGTAAGGTTTAATAATATTACTTTAAAAAATATTGTATAAAAAGAAGTGTTTAATAATATATATATTTAATTGTTTGTATTTTTTTATTCATAATAGACGAGATGTGAAAAATATAAATAATTATATTTAAAATAAAGTCTAAAAAAGGTTTAAAATATGAGCTCCTCCGTGTATCGCACGGGATATACACTAGTTGTCTTATAACATTGGTAACATTTGTCTCAAAAAATAGTAGTGTTATTTGTGGATAAAAATTTGGCTAAAGTACATGTATAGATCTCATTAAACTTTATATGAGATACCAGTACAACACTTGTGTATTAAACGGGTGTTTGTTAAAAAATTATTCTTAAATTTTAAAATTAATCAGAAAAAATATTTTAAATTTTATTTACTTTTTTACACAAAAATATATATATATATATAGTATTATATATTTTAGAATAACATTTGTTACTTGTGCGACTTACATGTGTTGTACTATAGTAATTTTTATAACTTATATCATATAATTACTTGAAATATAAATATATTAACTGATAAATAATTTTATTTTTCTAATTAATATTAAAAAATAATTATATTATTTTTATAAAGATAAATATAATTTATTTTTTTATACATACAATATAGATGTTAAATCGAAGTTCATCAAAAGATGATTAATTTGATATATTGTATATGTAAATCTGATAGAAAATATAAAAGTTATTAACTTTTAAAATACATTTATAATACAGTGGTTATAATAAGAAATAACTAGTACGTAACCCGTGCGATGCACGGGATGTAAAATTTGGAAGAATAATATAACCTCACGTGCATTAGGATCGAAATTGAAATCATTAAAATACATAGGAACATTGTTCAATCATAAAAAGTTCGGTAACAATCATATATTATTAAAAACCTCCTTGTACACAACATTATGAGTTTGATTATTTGGTAACTCCTCATTATCACAAACTAATATTTTCAAAAGAGACAAATCCTAAAAATCAAACTAATATTTTTGGTGAACAAACTAACATTTTAGGATTGGTGAACAAACTAATATTTTAGGATTTCTAGGATTTGTCTCTTTTGTGAACAAACTAATATTTTAGGATTGGTTATATGAATAAGGCTACCTGTTTTTGGTGTTCTTTTCATTCATTTTCATTCAAACAATCCGATGACTTGTATAATGAAATTCGAATCTTAAGCCGAAATATTTAAAAAAAGAGTTTTTAAAAATTGAATAGTCAAGGCAATCAGTTCAGATTAATTAAAGGTCAAAGAATATCCGCTCCTCGAAATAAAGACGTGTGTTATCATTAACCAAATATCCGGTTATTGATATAGAGTGGTTACCAAAAAATAGAACGCGATAAGGACGCTTCATGGAAATATCAATGGGATAAATGTTGGATAAATGTTGGAAATATCATTAACCAAATCCGACATTGACCATAATTTGACCTACTATTTTGGATAAATGTTAATTCTTATTATATAAGTATAGATATTAAAATACAATTAATACATGTAACATGACCATAAATAATCAACATACTTATGGATAATCCAAACCTAATTATTTTTGGATTATAAATAAATTAAAATATACCCAAGCCTAATAACGAAGCATGTAAGTTTGCCAAATTAGATCCCGAAGCATGCGAGTCTGCCACTTAGGCTCAACACGTATTGAATTAATATATAGGGGGGATATGTGCCAAGTTTTTCAATTACAAACATTATTGTTGATTGGATTTATGTTCTTCAATCCGATTAACATGAAATTGAATCCAAGAATGAGGTAATCCATTCACCTAAGGTTAGGGATTTTGATTCTTGTTTTGAATTGTGTTGAATGTGTTTTGTTCAATCTATGTGAGTTGCTTTAAAAAGGGGGTTTTCGATTCTCATTCTCGAATGTTGAATGTTGTTGAAGAGTGACACTTCGATTTGCAATTGTTTTTCAATTGGATATGATTCATTCGGGTTTGACGATGTTAATTCCAATATATTAGTCGATTAACCACAGTCTGGTCTAATTAGTTAACTCTTAGAACCGAAAGAGGAGGAGTTGATCGATCTAAGCTCATATAGAGTAGACTTGTTCGTAAAAGTATTGTCTATGTGTTGTTTGATAGAGTGAGTTTGTTGTCTATGTGTGCGCTCTTGTTACGAAAAGTTATTGAGCATAAACCTCTAGACGTGTAGGTTTGGTGAATCACGTTACCGAACAAATATGCGTTCATAATAGTTTAGGACTTGATGGGATTTCCCGACCCCTAGAACTTCTTCTAATTCTATAGCAATTGAATTGTTATTTCTTTTATTGCTTTTCTAGTTCTAGTTAGTTTAGTTAATTCTCCATATCAATCGTGATTAGAATGTTTAGGATTTATTTCATGTTCGTGTGTAATCGACACCAATTTTAGATTCTGAACCGCTTTCCTCGAGAGATCGACCCGGGGAATGAATCTTGCGATTCGACACTCGGTAATAACATAATTTTCTACAACAGTACGTCTCGGGCAGACATAAGGATAGCCAATAACTGTCAGGCAGGCCATCAGGCAATCGGGCAGCGTAAAACTTGTTCAATAAGCCAATGATTCACTATAAATAGGTGGGAGGCATGGTAGGCAAAAGATTAGTCACTCTATACATTCTAAACTTTACAATACAATTACATACATCTTTCCATAACCCTTCACTAACTTGATCCTCGGAAGTTTTACGTCAGGAACACGTCCCATCGTATCTCGCAGGTCTTCGAGGAGAAAATCGGTGTGAGGACGAAAGAGAACTGGTTCTAGGTGCGACATCACATCAGGGTTGGTCCAGACTTTGTTCTGGTTCTAGTGCTCGGTTGTACTATTTTGAGTTTTCAGTTATTAACATAATTCTCGTTTCAAAAAAAAAATCTCATGTGTCAACTTGCTTCCGAATATGAATATGGTGATGTAGACATAATTAATGTCTACAATGTAGAGATGAATGTGGTTCATCCGCATTTTCCCCCACACTCTAGCTAGTTAATGAAAAGAAGACAGAAAATTATTCTTACCAATTCCAAGTTATTTAATTAATTATCTTACTCTTTATTAAAATTTAAATATTGGTAAGTTGATAATATTGTATTTAGACTACATTGTGTTTTGGAGATAATTTTTTAATTTCATAGTTGCAAACTTAACATTTTTTCTACATTCCATTTAATTTATTGACATTTATCAAAATTTATTCTATAACAACATTAGAGCATGCTCTTACTTAACATTCATTACATATCTATATCTATAGTCTCTTATCTTATTTTCTTATCTTATCTTATCTATGTTCTATATTTAATAAGAAGGAGTTTAAACACTGTAGCAAAATATAATTTTTTATTTCTCACACATTGCTTCTGGTATTGACACGTTGCTTATAACACCTAACATTTACCTTTTTGCCCTTATCTATGTTCTATATTTAATAAGAAGGAGTTTAAAACACTGTAGCAAAATATAATTTTTTATTTCTCACACATTGCTTCTGGTATTGACACGTTGCTTATAACACCTAACATTTACCTTTTTGCCCTTAGTGTTGATATTTTTCTCTTTCCTCGCCCATTGCATTGTGTTTTGAATTTCATATTTCTCCCCTTTTTCATTTTTGGTTCCTGATTGAAACCCTAGACTTCACAAACTAACCTCAATATGATGCATCGGGGAGCAAATCGGAGAAAGCAAATTAGATGCCTTAGCCACACTCGAACCACGATGGCGACCTCAATTGGGAAGATTTTAGCCTTTCTGGTGGCCACAAATCAAATTCAACAGCGAGCACATCAATGTTGGTGAGGTTTGCAGACTTGATTGATGGTGAGAAGAGCCACACTTTCGAGAGCCTCTTAAGCACCATCTTCGTCAATTGGGATGTCCTGTGCGTGGACATATATATGAAGGTGAGTATTTCATTTTAATTGACATCCTTCAATTTTTGTGTTGCGGATTTGTGATCTAATAAACTCACTTCGTACTTTTCAGTATTAAGGATTATGGCATTTACAATGAATTTTCTAAAAGAGGAGACATGGTATTTGGTTAACTACTTTTATTGTTGTTATCCAGTCTGCTGCTGCTGGTATGCATTCAATTGTTTTTTTTTTTTTTTTTTTTTTTTTT